TATTTATTTATTTATTTATTTATTATAAAATAAATTTTGAACTTTTTTTATTACATACTGTAGTTTTATTTTGTGACACTTTTATTTTGTAAAGCTACTTTACATGTGTCAGGGACTTTTATTTTTAACTCTCTTCTTATTTACGTGGAACCTGGCGTACACACTGTTTATACATGAGACCCCTGGTCTTCATCTCTCACCTGTTCTTCATTCACCAATCAGCTGTCTCCTCTCTTTACTCCTCCCAGTTTATCATTCTGTTGTTTGCTGTTCCTCGTCGTTTACTTCAGTGGCATCTTTTTATTTATTTATTTTTACATTAAACCTGTTGTTTGTGTTAAAAAGTTTTAGGGTTTTAAATCTTAAAATTTAAAATACTGATTTTATCTTTTGATTTGGTAAAAATTTTCTCTTAAAATCCTCAAACTTGAACTACAGTAAGAGTAAAGAGAATGAACACTTGAAACAAGGAGTGATGAAGACAGAACTTCAGTTCAGTCAGAGTGATGTGAGCTAATGTTTCAGGAAACAGGAAGAAGAGTTTAGACTGAACCACAGATTAAACAAAGCTTCAGTGTAATGACACAATCTGGTGTTTTATTAACCAGGGATTAGACCGACTAAAAACAACAATAAAATACAAAGCAGACAAGATGGACACTCACATACAAGCCGGTCATGTCGATCTCAATCCGAGGTACGCCCTCTTTGCTGCCATCTGGAGCGATTTCCTCCAGCAGGTGGAAGTAGGCCTTGGAGTCCTGCACAGGAACACAAACACACACATACGTACATGCTGAGTAATGACACACCTGCTCCAGCCTACACATTCAACATGTGCTGCTGAAACACATTCATCATAAACACATTCATCATAAACACATTCATCTGAAACACATTCATCATAAACACATTCATCATAAACACATTCATCTGAAACACATTTATCATAAACACATTCATCATAAACACATTCATCATAAACACATTCATCATAAACACATTCATCATAAACACATTCATCAGAAACACATTCATCATAAACACATTCATCTGAAACCTGATTTGTATGAACGAGTGATTAATAAGTTTCTGAAGAATCTGAAGACCTGCTGAAGAGAAGAAACAACTGGTCCTCCAGAACCAGGCCTGGGTAGTACTGCTCTAAACTACCTGGGGCTGTACCTACAATACAAAGGTCCCGCCCACATCTCCTCACAGGCTGTCAATCAAAGTGTAACATGACACCATTTAATTTCCAAATAACTCACAGAATTCAGGTAAGAACAAAAATCAGCACCAAAACAAATGTATCTGAAAGGTATTTTTATGTTTTAGTCTAAAAAATGTGTAATTTCTTCACGTGAAGGGGCGGGGCTTAAAACCTGTGCAGTGACCACTAGAGGGCGCTTTGTGGCTTCAACATCCAGCTTCAGCTCCTGTCTCTAAATAAATGTTGATGCTTCAGATTTTCCAGCATCAGTGCAAACAAACGAGATGTTTTTTTTACTTCCACGTACTTTTAAGATCTTTATATTTGTTCATCATAATGTTTTTGTCATGTCCTGGATAACTTAAGCCCTACATTAGTTTAAGTTTATAAATGAAATGAGTTTATTACACTAAAGGATTTGTGATTCCTCACCTTAATGTCTGCAGAGAAGTTGGAGATGGTCATGCCAGTCTTCTTCAGATGGAAATTGACCCAACGGAGCAGCAGCTCTTCAGGACTGAGCTTCATCAAGTCCTCCAGAGTCTCACCGTCCTCCAGCAGCGCTGCGAGAGCTGAGCACAGACAGGGAGGTGGGTTCTGAGGCAGGGGGCTCTCCAACAGGAACCACCACTCAGTTTCTTTATGCATTTCTTTGTAAATGAAGATCCCCATTAGCTGCAGTAGAACCACAGCTACTGTTACTGCACTGAAAAAAATTACTTGTAAGATGTACTTGAAAAAATCCTCTAACAAATTTGCACTAACGTTTGTTAAGTAAATTTAAATGCTACAAATTCATGTAATTTTTACTCATCGTTATTCTAGTAAAAGTTATTAAGAATATAGTTAAAGATTTGTGAATAAATCAGGTAAATTTTACTTAATTTGCTCAATTAAATCTTGTAACACATATTTGATCAAATTATATTCACAAATCTTTAACTATTCTTAATAACTTTTACTAGATAATGATGAGTAAATATTACATGAATTTGTAACATTTAAATTTACTTAAACATTAGCGTATATTGTTACGAGGATTTTTTCAAGTAAAATTTACAAGTTCTTTATAACAGTGCACATGCATCAAGCACAATAT